CCCCCCCCCGTTTTAATACATTAAATAGCAACATACTATTTCATTTCATTCAGTGCTGATGAAATAGCCTACTACAGTGGTCTGTTTCCCTGTTGTCATTTGCTGATGCCACCTGGAAGTAGATCCAGCTCAGCTATTTACATGTCTTCTTGGAGTTGCTTCAGATATGCCATACGATAAATAAATAATGCTTCAGATAAGTATTCGGGGGTTTTTTGTGTGTTTTTTTTAATCCCATTTTCCTTTTATGGGGTGTAAGGTAAACTGAAATACTAGGCCAAGCTCACCCAGTAAGCTTAATGACTAAATAGAGATTTGAACCAGGTGGTCCATCTGTAGTTGCACAAAACAATTGTCTATATAACGTTGATGTAGGAGAACTGCATGTTATAAAGCTATATTTGGTGCCAACTCTAGTTGCATCATGTAGTAAAAGATCTGTATATTTGCCACATCTGGAAGTGGTATCCTGATAGGAAATAAGCTTGTGGAAGTGGCCTAAATGATACAATTTCTATCCTAACTTTAAGCAATATGGCCATACAGAAAAGTGATCAAGGGCTGTTCTGAGCATCTTCCAGAAGCAATGTAAGTGTGTTAGTCTTGGGTTGAATTTAAATTGGGGCATGTCAGTAAGGAAACCTGAATTCTTTAAAATGTATTGCTCTTAACTTTCAAGGTCAAGGTGAGATTAAAATTCAAATTTATTGCCAAGGCTGGCTTTATATCTTGGTTCTCTTCATTCACCCATCCCTAAAAGCATCGTATTCCCAGTGACAGCCTCAGTTCTGTTTAATATTTCAGATCCCAATGGATTGCCCTATATAGCTGTTTATCCCTCTCCCCAGCAATGCAAATATCTTTTTTTAAATTTCTGTTCAATGGGACACTATCAGTCCAGTTCATTAATTGGCACTACTTTGGCAAGAGGGAGGGTGGGGAGGGTTCTTCACTGTCACACGGACATCAAACATTGTATAGCAGTAACATGGATTTTGTGTAGGTGCATCCTTAAATTGTAGAGAAGCTCTCCAGTGGTCAAAAGGCAGGGCTTTGGGTTTTTTACATAGATCTTTACCTGTTCCTATGATTAGCAGGCAAAGAAATTATATAAAACAAGAAGAGAACCTGCAAGGACTTGTGTGGGTCATTTTTCTCCTCCTTGCAGCTCCCACATACTCTTCCCTTTCCTGCCTCATTGTCTCCTTCCCACTCACCAACCAACCTTTCTTCTGCCCACCCCTTTAGCTTTATTATTTCTTATTTCATTTAAACCCCACCTTTCTCCCTAAAGGGGACCCAAAGCCGTTTACATCATTCTCCCCTCCATTTTTTTCTTCACAACAACACAGTGAGGTAGATTAGGTTGAGAGAATGACTGGGCCAAGGTCACCCAGGCTTCCATGGCAGCATGGGGATTAGAATCTGGCTCTCTTGGACATCCCAATGACTATACCACACTGGCTGTCAGTTTTCCATCCTTCCTTTCTCCTGGCAGCCTTTCCCTGGGAAACCTTTGGCCAAATTGCAAAGGTTGTGTGGTAGCAAGTAGTTCACATGAGTTGTGTGATGACTTGCTACCAGGCTTGGCCGAGTCTTTCAAGATGTGCAGAGGTTGCAGTTTGGTCCATGCAGATTTTATGGCATTACATCTTTGGCTGGGAGGGTGGGATAGAAGTCTAATCAATCAATCAATCAATCAGTATTCACCTCTACACCTGGTACCAAGTTGCCTGGTGGTTGCTGCTGGGCTTTGCCCCAGTGAGTCCTCCCAGGCAGGAGAGAGGGGACTAGGGCTGGGCACGGTGGCCAAAATAGCCCCAGAAGGGCCTTCTCTACCTGCTTCTTACTGACACAAGGTCAGCAGTGCTGTTCTTGTTGCCTAGTAACTGAAACAATGGCCACAGAGGGCATTCATTCTTAAAGGTATAGGTGCTGCTTGTATTAATGTGGGGACTTTACCCCCATGTATTTTCCCAATTTTTCTGGAAACCTGAGGCTTTTCTGGTTTGCAGAAAGACCTGTCTTGTCTGTGTATAACTCTAGTCTCTGGATTTAAGTATCCCCAGATTTGGCCACATAGAGAATTAGATATGTTGGTAAATCCTTTTGACATTAGTTACTGCTGGATTGTTGTTGTTGTTGTTGTTGTTGTTGTTGTTAACACATAAACAAGGTGTATGAACTGGCTCTGAACAGGGAGGCATTTTCTCTGTTGTTCTGCATGAAGGTTCCTTCTAATTTACATTTTAGAATTCCGGGGGGGGGGGGTCTACAAAGTCCTGCCCATTTTCTCTCCAGCGCAAAGATTATATTGGGTTATGTGCCAC